TATGGCAGTACCCAATGCCCCTGACTGCATGGGAAGGTATAGCCCGTCACATCCGGCGGTTATTAAATGCAGGGGTGCTGCAACCCTGTCAGTCAGCCTGGAACACTCCCCTGCTGCCGGTGCAAAAACCAAACTCAGGTGAATATAGGCCAGTTCAGGATTTACGAGAGGTAAACCGGCGAGTAATGGACATACACCCTACGGTCCCAAACCCCTACACCCTCCTCACCACTCTGCCCCCAACCAGGACATGGTATACTGTGCTGGATTTAAAGGATGCCTTTTTCAGTTTGCCCTTGGCCCCAAAAACCCAGGACTTCTTTGCCTTCGAATGGGCAGATTCAGAAAAGGGTATCAACGGCCAGCTCACTTGGACACGACTGCCTCAAGGATTCAAGAATTCACCCACCATTTTCAACGAGGCACTGTAGGAGGATTTGGGTGAGTTTCATACAAAGAACCCCAACCTGACTCTGTTACAGTATGTAGATGATATCCTGCTGGCAGCAGAGGATGGAGACACGTGTCTGCAAGGCACCAAGGACTTGTTACAAACTCTGGGCACCCTGGGGTACCACACCTTGGCAAAAAAAGGCACAAATCTGAAGAATGGAGGTGAGCTATCTGGGATACAAAATAAAAGATGGGCAGAGATGGCTAACGGACGCTAGAAAGGAAACTGTTCTAAGAATTCCACTGCCACAAAATGTCCGCCAGGTACGCGAATTCCTGGGTTCAGTGGGGTTCTGCCACTTGTGGATTCCAGGGTTTGCTGAGTTGGCTAGACTGCTATATGAAGCCACTAAAAATAAGCAAGACTTTGTTTGGACGGAGGCCATGAACCAATCTTTTAATAACCTCAAACATGCGTTACTCTCGGCCCCGGCCCTTGGGTTACCTGATTTAACAAAGCCGTTTCATCTATATGTGGATGAACTGAAAGGGGTTGCAAAGGGAATTCTGCTACAACAGCTAGGCCCCTGGAAAAAGCCCATAGCATACCTCTCAAAGAAATTAGATCCTGTAGCAGCTGGATGGCCCCCATGTTTGAAAATCATTGTGGCAGTTGCCACTATGGTCAAGGATGCTGACAAAATAACCATGGGTCAAGAACTGTATGTCAGTACACCCCATGCCATAGAGGGGGTGCTCAGACAGCCACCAGATCGATGGATAAGTAATGCCCACTTGACTCACTACCAGGGCTTGCTCCTAGATCCTGCTAGAATTCTGTTCCAGACCCCCACCTCCTTGAATCCAGCCACGCTGCTCCCCAACCCGGACTGGGAGGCCCCCTCCACAACTGTCAAGAAATCCTGGCCCAGGTGCCTGGGGTGAGAGCTGACCTCCAGGATCAACCCTTGCCTGATGCAGATAACACCTGGTACACGGATAGCAGTAGCTTCGTCTGGAATGAAACAAGGTATGCGGGGGCAGCTGTAACCATGGAGACTGAAACTGTCTGGGCAGACCCATTAGTGGCCGGAACTTCTGCCCAACGGGCTGAGTTAATCGTGCTAACCAAAGCGCCGACTATGGGAGCTGGCAAATGGGTAAACATTTTTACGGACAGCAGGTATGTGTTTGCCACGACTCATGTACATGGAGCCATTTACAGAGAAAGGGGGTTCCTAACGGCAGAAGGAAAAACTATCAAAAACAAAGCTGAAATCCTCCAGCTGCTACAAGCCCTCTGGCTACCTAAGGCATTAGCCATCATCCATTGTCCAGGACACCAGACAGTGGACACGCCGGTAGCCAGGGGAAACCGCTTGGCTGACCTAAAAGCAAAGGAGGCAGCCATGTCTGTAAATCATGTCCTAGTAACTATTCTACCAGACCCAGGGGCACCAGAGTTTCCAGATGACCCCAAATACACAGAAGAAGACTTAAATTGGATCAAAAGCCAACCTATGGTACAATACTTGTATGGCTGGTGGAGGGCAGTGAACTGCAGTGTAATCTTACCAGAAAAATTAGGACAACAGCTCCTCATAAAAATACACAGAAGTACTCATGTGGGAACAAAAAAATTGGGAGACTTGATATGACATGCTAAAATAACCATCAAAAACTCGCAATCTAAAATTGAACAGATCATGGCCAAGTGCTATGCTTGTCAAGTAGCAAATGCCTCTTCACACAAATCCAACCTGGGAACCAGACTCCAAGGTAACAGGCCAGGAGCGTACTGGGAGGTAGACTTCACCGAGATAAAACCGGGAAAATATGGTTACGAGTATTTACTGGTGTTTATAGACACTTTTTCAGGCTGGACTGAAGCATTTCCTACAAAACATGAAACGGCACCAATAGTGGTAAAGAAACTCCTGGAGGACATTATGCCAAGCACTGCAAAAAACACATGAGCGGGTGTGGCCTGCATTAAAGGCCCTCTGCGAAACTGGGCCACCCCCGGAACCACATCGCTACTGCCCGGGTGACTGGGTGTATGTCCGTAGACATCAACACCAGATGCTCCAGCCATGTTGGAAAGGACCCTATGTCATAATCCTAACCATGCCCACTGCGCTCAAAGTGGACGGAATCGTCCCGTGGGTCCACTACACCCACGCCCAGCCGGCAGACTCCTTCACTGTGTTGAAAGACTACGTCCCAGACTGGAAAAGCGTGCTAGACAAGGACAATCCCCTAAAGCTAAGATTGTGCCGCTCTCACTTACCCCCATAATGCTAATATTACGTATATCGTGTTTTCTATGTAGTGTCATAGCCAACTCGAACCCACACCAGCCCCAAAATCTAACATGGCAGGTTATAGACCTCTCCACTAACAACATCATCTGGCAGGCTTCAAAAGTAACCCCCTTAACACATGGTTCCCAACCATGACCGGGAACTTAACACAGTTCTACCATACTGCCGCCATACAATGAAAATTAACCCACGGAGGCACTGACGGAAGGTACTGGTAATTTTATGTGTGCCCAGGGCATGACGAAGATAAGAACTGTAGAGATGTCACTGAGTACTATTGTCCCAGCTGGTCCTGCATCTCCACGGGGTTCATAAATTGGAGCCCTGCTAAGTCCAATGATTTAATAAAGGTACAGAGGGCAGGTACCCCCAACATCCATCAAAGATGTAATCCTACCCAGGGGCAGCGCTGCAACCCCATAACTATAAGCTTTACCGAAAAGGGCAGAAAAGCTCAAGGCTGGGAAATAGGAAAAACGTGGGGACTCAGATTGTACAACCCGCAGCGTACAGGGTATACGGATTCCGGAAGTTCCTTTATGATTAAAGTAACCTCTCGAATCCCCAGTCAAAAAACCCTCAGCATGGGACCAAATCCAGCTCTAACACCTAAACACAGACCAGTTGTTATACCAAACCTCAGGCCCCGGACCACCGCGTCCACCCCCTTAGCTACCACTTATACAGATTCTGAAGCCACTACAGTTGTCCCCGACTCCGTAGGGGCCAATATACTTGTCTCTGACTCCACCCCACCTCCACTGGTACTGTACCAACATCCTCTCTGGCACTTGCTAAATCAAGCCTACCTGTTTCTTAATGCAACCAAACCAGAAATTAACTCATGTTATGTTATAACATCCAGCCCCCCTATTATGAAGGAATTGCAGTAATGGGAAACTATACAACCAAGCATGATTCCAATTCTTGTAGATGGCAGCCAGCAACCCAGGGACTCACTCTGCAGTCGGTAACAGGCCAAGGATTATGCATAGGCCGCCCCATACCAGAGTTTCAGTCCCTATGCAACATTACACTACCTGTATCTAGCCTAGATTGCCACCTGCCCCCTGAAAGTAGCTGGTGGGCCTGTTCTACAGGCTTAACCCCTTGCTTCCACGGGCAGGTCCTAAATCAGACCCAACAAGGCTTCTGCATGCTAGTTCAATTACTTCCAAAAATTCTCTACCACTCTGATGAAGACATACTCCGGTGGTTCAGCACAGAGGCCCACTGGAGAAATAAAAGAGAACCGATCACCGCCATTTCCCTGGCGGTCCGCTTTGGGCTTGGACTAACAGGAGCAGGGACAGGTATTGCCTCCCTAGCCACACAGAGCCACCAATATAATAGCCTTAGGGCGACCATAGACCTAGACATTGAAAGAATTGAAGCCTCCCTCTCCCATCTCCAGGAATCCCTAATCTCCCTATCCGAGGTAGTTCTACAGAACCGTAGAGGGCTAGACTCATTATTCCTATAGCAGGGTGGAACATGTGCCACCCTGGGGGAGGAATGTTGTTTCTACACAGACCACTCAGGCGTTGTCAAGGAGTCCATGGCCACAGTAAGGGAAGGATTGGCTAAACGGAAAGAACAACGAGAACAACAAAGTTGGTTCGAAACCTGGTTTAAAATTACCCAATCATGTGTGAACAAGTTTAAAGTTCTTTCCCCTCCCTTGTAACTGTGTATATAAGCTGCTGGCTGCACTGGGTCGGGGCTCTCGTTCCTGTCCCACTGCACCGGTTACGGATGTGAGCCCAGACTCGAGCCTGAATAAAGACCCTCGTGTGATTTGCATCGGAGCTGACTCTTTGGTGGTCTCTCGGATTCAGGATTCGGGTACAATAGTCAACAAGGAAGTCACAGCAGTCATGGTAGTCAGGTGCAACATCTCCAGGAGAAGGATTTAAGCCAGGACTCTGGGGGGCTACGAGGCCACACTCACCTAGAATGTAGGCCCACTCCCTGTCTGTGGGGGGTGAACGTTTCTTAAATAAATCTTTTCTTCTCTCACCTCCGTGTGCCACAATTTTTTGCAATCTACTCGGATCTCTGGGTTGCCAGCCCACACCTCCCGCTTGCCAGCCCTGGCAGTGCTGTGCCCCTTGCCTCCCCACGCCTAAACACAAAGGATATTCAAAAATGCAACTACCCTCTCTGGCGCCTGCAAATGACTATTAAAAAGCCCAGTCTGACTTATCCATGAACACATCCGCTCCCTATCTCCATTTTCTCCCAGTGAATCATAGACAGACGTTGGCCATGGTTGATGGGGACTTACTTCAGAGAGTCCTTGGAGCGAAAAGGGCTCCTGTAGCTGCAGGGAATTTTCATGGGATAGCCCTGCTGAAACTGGCTAGATGCAAGCAGGGAAATCTCATCAGAGTCACCAAATTTCTTCCCAGATAAACTAGTCCAGCTGCGTTCCACACGGTCAATCGAAAATGAGAGGCAAAAACTGGGGAAAAAGTAAATTTATTTCTGTAGCCAGGTTACAGGGAGATGTGCAGCATAGTCCTGCACCCATCCTTGAGACTGAATTAACAAGGCCTATGGTAAGTTTCCGTATGACCCAAGGTCTCCTAATCATGCTGATGGTTCAGTAAGGGGGTGGTGGGGAGAGTTACAACAATCAAAGAAACTACCTTGGTACATTTAGATAAACAACTTGGAATCAAACATGAGTAATTTAAGAAACTCCTGTCCACAGAGCTTTGGCTTATAATCTCCAGAATGCTTTTCATCTTGTAAGACTGAACCTCTATACATATTAAGCAGTAATTTCCTGTTCTCTCTTCCCTTAGTTCTTTTTTTTTTTTTTAAAAGCAGGATTTATTAAGAGGACAGAAAAATTCCCACATCAGGAGGAGACCCAAAGCCCTTCCCTTAGTTCTTGACTACCTTTCTACTTCCTCTATGAATTTGATCACTTTATTTACCTTATATAAAAGGAATCATACAGAATTTGTCTTTTTGTGACCATTTTATTTCACTTAGCAAAATGTCCTCAAGATCCATCCATGTTGTGGCATGTGACAGGATTTCCTTTTTTTTTTGAGTTGGAGTCTCACTCTGTGAGTGTAGTGGCATGCTCACGGCCACTGAGGCCTCAACCTACTGGGCTCAGGTGATCCCTCTGCTTCAGCTTTCCAAATAGCTGGAACTACAGGCATGCACCACCATGCCCAGCTAATTTTTCTATTTATTGTAGAGATGAGGTCTTGCCAAGTTGCCCAGGCTAGTCTCAAACCCGTGAATTTAGGCAATCCTTGCACCTTGGGATCCCAAAGTGCTGGGATTATAGGTGTGAGCCACCTCACCATGCCTGATTTCCTTCTTTTTTGTGACTGTGTAATATTCCATTGGATGTATGTACCACATTTCCTTTGTTAATGGACTCATGGTTTGCGTCTACCTCTTGGCTATTGTAAATAATGCTACTGTGAACACAGGCATACAAATATACCTCTTTGCAACTCTGCCTTCAATTATCTTAGGTATATACCCAGAAGTGGAACCTTGAGCCATATGGTAATTCTATTTTGAAGTTTTTGAGCAATCACTGTACAGTTCTAAAGCAGCTGCACCATTTTATATTCCCACCAAGGGTGCAAAAGGATTCTAATTTCTCCACATCCTCAACATTTGTTATGTTCTGTTTTCATTCTAATGGATGTGAGATGACATATTGTGATTTTGGTTTGAATTTCTTTTCTTTTTTTCTTTTTTTTTGAGTTGGAGTCTCACTCTGTCGCCCAGACTGGAGTGCAGTGGCATGCTCCCGGCCATTGCAACCTTGACCTGCTGGGCTCTGGCGATCCTTCCGCCTCAGCCTTCTAAGTAGCTGGAACTACAGGCGTACACTACCACGCCCGGCTAATTTTTTGATTTATCGTAGAGATGAGGTCTCGCCAAATTGCCCAGGTGGGTCCCGAACCCGCGGGGTCAGGCAATTACTCAGCTCAGCCTCCCAAAGTGCAGGATTACAGGCTGAGCCACTGAGCCCGGCCTGAATTTCTTTAATGATTAATGATGTTGAGCATCATTTCATGTGCTTTTGAATATCTTCTTTGAAGAAATATCTATTCAGGTCCTTTGGCCATTATTTTCCCTTTCTTTTTAATTTTGTTATTGTTGTTGTTAGGGTTGTGGAGTACATGTGAGAATTTGCTACATAAGTAAATTGCATGAAGGTGAGGTTTGGACCTAGCAAGCTTTCTCTCCTCCTGGTAGTGGGTATGGTACCCAATGGGTGGTTGTGTGTCCCCCACCCCCTATGTCTTCCCCCTTTCCTCTTTTTTTTTTTGAGTTGGAGTCTCACTCTGTCGCCCAGACTGGAGTGCAGTGGCTGCTCCCGGCCACCACAGCCTCTTCCTGCTGGGCTCCGGCGATCCTTCCGCCTCAGCCTTCCAAGTAGCTGGAACTACAGGCGCACGCTACCACGCCCAGCTAATTTTTGATTTATTGTAGAGATGAGGTCTCGCCAAGTTGCCCAGGCAGGTCTCGAACCCGCGGGCTCAGGCAATCCACTCTCCTCAGCCACCCAAAGTGCGGAATTACAGGCTGAGCCACCGAACCCGGCTTCCTTCCCTCCTTTAAAAGTACCCAACATTTGTTGTTCCTGCCTTTGTACCCAATGTTTAGGGTCCACCTATGAGCAAACACATGCAGTAGTCAGGATTTATTTCTGTGATAGTTCACTTAGAATGATGGATTTGACTTGGTTTGTTTGTTTGTTTTTGAGTCAGTCTCACTCTGTTGCCCAGGCTGCAGTGAACGCAGTGGCACACTCATGGCTACTGCAACCTTGACCTACTGGGCTCAGGTGATTCTTCCGCCTCAGCCTTCCCAAGTAGCTGTAACTACAAGTGCACACTACTGTGCCCAGCTAACTTTTTTTATTTGTTGTAAAGATGAGGTCCTGCCAAGTTTTCTCAGCCTGGTCTCGAACCCCAGAACTCAGGCATTCTCTTCTCTTCTTCTCAAAAGTGCTGGTGTTACAAGCATGAGCTACCATGACTGGCTTGACCATTTAAAAAATAGGTTATTTTTCCCCCCTATGTTTTGTTTTTATAAATAAATAATGAATTATAGGAGTTCTTTATATATTCTGGACAGTGGTCCCTTATCAGATATGATTTGCAATATTTTTTCCCACTCTATCAGCTGCTGTTTCACTCGGTTGATTGTGTCCTTTGATGCGCTGATTTTTTTCATTTTGATGTAGTCTAATTTATCTATTTTTTCTTTTGTTGCCTGTGCCTTCAGTGTCATATCCAAGAAATCTTGCCAGATTCGAGAATGCCAAATCCAGGAAGGTTTTCCCCATGTTTTCTTCTAAGAGTTTTTATAAGTTTTTGGTCTTACATTTAGATCTTTGACCCATTTTGAGTTAATTTTTGTGTATGATATAAGGTCCCAACACCATTTATTTAAAAGACTGTTCTTTTCTCACTGGTCTCAGTGCCCTTATCAAAAATCACTGACCATATAATGAGGATTTATTTCTGGGTTCTCAGTTCTGTTCAATTTGTCTATATATTTGTCATAATCCCATCACCATCACCTATGTTTATGGCAGCATTACTCAGGCAATCCTCTTGCCTCCACTGCCCAAAGTGCTGGGATTACAGGTACAACACTATACTGAATTTATTATTTTTAACAGTTTTTTGGTGGAGTCTTTAGGGTTTTCTATATTCAAGATCATGTTGCTGGGCACGGTGGCTCAAGCCTGTAATCCCAGAACTTTGGGAGGCCGAGGCAAGAGTATTACCTGAGTTTAGGAGTTCAAGACCAGCCTGGGCAATTTGTAAGACCACGTCTCTGCAATAAGTAAAAAAATTGACCAGGTGTGGTGGTGTGTGCCTGAAGTTCCAGCTACTTGGAAGGCTGAGGAGGAAGGATCGCCTGAGTCTAGCAGGTTGAGGCTGTGGTGACCTTGAGTGAGCCACTGTACTCCAGCCTGGATGACAGAGTGAGACTCCAACTCAAAAAAAAGATCATGCTATCTGCAAAGACAATTTTACTTTCTGATTTGAATGCCTATTTCTCTTTCTTGCCTAATTAATTGTCCTAAGACTTCTAATACTATGTTGAATGGAAATGATGAAAGTGGGCATCCTTTTCTTGTTTCTGATCTTCCTGAAAAAGCTTTCAGTCTTTCACCACTGAGTATAATATAATGTTGGCTGTGAGATGTGCATATAGTTTTTTTTTTTTTTTGAGTTGGAGTCTCACTCTGTTGCCCAGACTGGAGTGCAGTGGCCGCTCCTGGCCATCGCAGCCTCGACCTGCTGGGCTCCGGCGATCCTTCCACCTCAGCCTTCCAAGTAGCTGGAGTTATAGGCACGCGTTACCACACCCGGCTAATTTTTTGATTTATTGTAGAGATGAGGTCTCACCAAGTTGCCCAGGCAGGTCTCGAACCCGCAGGTTCAGGCAATCCACTCACCTCAGTCTTCCAAGGCACGGGATTACAGGCTGAGCCACCGAGCCCGGCTTCATATAGTTTTTAATGTAGAGTTGTTATTCAGAACACTTCTGACCCGAAAAATATGGGATTTTCCTCACACCAACAACCAGTTCTCCAACTCTCTGGACGCCAAATGGTTGTCCTACAATTAAATTCTGATACTACCTGGAGTTGGCTCCTTTGGCAAGCAGACACCATCCTGAACTTTTGGGGTCCACAGGTTAAGGGCTCAGTTCAGGACTATTCCCACTTCAGTCACCAGTTACAAGAGTCCTAGGTTACCACCTGTATTTTTGAACAACTAGATAAAAATTGGGGGTTCTCACAACCCTCCCTCCTCCTTTTTGTGTGTGTGTGTCAGAGTCTCACTCTGTTCACCTAGGCTGGAGGGCAGTGGCACACTCACAACCACCACAGCCTCGACCTGCTGGGCTCAGGCGATCCTTCTGCCTCAGCCTTCCAAATAGCTGGAACTACAGGCATGCAACATCACACCTGGCTAATTTTTTGATTTATTGTAGAGATGAGGTCTTGCCAAGTTGTCCAGGCTTGTCTCGAACCCATAAGCTCAGGCAATCCTCTCACCTCAGCCTCCCAAAATGCTGGGATTATAGGTGTGAGCCACTATGCCTGGCTTCCTTCCCCCCTTTTAAGTTTGACAGTTTGCTAGAATAGCTTACAGAATGCAAGAAAAAGAAAACCACTTTACTATTTTCTTTTTTTTTGAGTTGGCGTCTCACTCTGTCACCCAGACTGGAGTGCAGTGGCCGCTCCCAGCCACCGCAGCCTCGACCTGCTGGACTCCGGCGATCCTTCCGCCTCAGCCTTCCCAAGTAGCTGGAACTATAGGTGCGCGCTACCACGCCTGGCTAATTCTTGATTTATTGTAGAGATGAGGGCTCGCCAAGTTGCCCAGACGGGTCTCGAACCCGCGGGGTCAGGCAATCCACTCACCTCAGCCTCCCAAAGGAGCGGGATTACAGGCTGAGCCACCGAGCCCGGCTCCACTTTACTATTACTAGTTCATTATATAGGATGCAACTACCTGTGGAAGAGATGCATAGAGCAGGGTATAGGAATATGGGGCACAGGTTGGAGGAAGATACTGAGCTTCTTTGCCCTTTCTGGCCATGTTATCCTCTAGGATCTCAACATGTTCACCAATCTGGAAGTTCTCTGGGCCCTATTATTTAGGAATTTTTACGGAGGTTCTGTTAAGTAGGCATAGTTGATTAAGTCATTGGCCACTGGTGATTGAGCCTAATCTCCAGCCTCTCTCCTCTTTCCTCAGGTCTAGAGGTTAGGCTCAAACTTCCAATTGTCTAATCACATGGTTGGTTCCTTTGGTAAACAGCCACCATTCTGAAGCTCCTTAGGGGCCCAGCAAGAGTCACCTTATTAGGTTTTGTCAAAAGGGGCTTGCTATGAACAACGAAAGGTACTCCACTTACTCCTACCACTGGGTAAATTGTAAGGTTTTAGAAGTTCTGCATCAGGAACCAGGGACAAAGATCAAATATGTATTTATTATCACATCTGTATTTATTTATTTATTTTTTTGAGTTGGAGTCTCACTCTGTCACCCAGACTGGAGTGC